TAGATCAAATAATATGGCTTTCAAACACATCAAATTGTCATGTATCTCATTGACTATCACATCTTTCATAGTCACTACACTATCCTCCCTAAATCGAATGATATTACCTAGCCTCGTTGATTCAAAATAAGATGAGTAGTGAAAAACTTGTAGGGGGATGACTAAAAGTCATTAGCTGGAAAACATCTTTAGGATTTTCAAAAAAATTTCGAAATGGATCACAAAACATGTATCAAACATAATCAAGTAACTTGTAACACCCAATTCCACCCTCATACTTTAAAATGGACATTGTCCTCACTATACTAAAAGATAGTGAGCCAAAAAGTTTGAAAACAAGTTACTCAACTTGTCATTCAAATTTCAAAATAGAAGGCTTAGGCAACTAACACTCATCATGTTCAGGGACATTTTAAATCAATGACAAACAAAAATAAAATCTAAGAAAAACAAAGGGATAGAAGTTACTCCCATTTGAAGAACATGCTCTAGTCGGATGGCCAATCGAGTCCCGATGTCCCTTCATCATCCCATCCAGTCGCATTCATTCTTGTTGGCTCCATGGGATATGGATTGAATCCACTTTGGTGTATGAAATCTTGAAAGTCCTCTGATGCTTCGTATTCCTGGTCCTCGATCTTCTCTAGCAGCGTCTTTGTCCTTGTACTGGCTATCTTAAGTGCCATTTGTGCTAGCTTCAAATCTTGAGTTGGTCGAGCTTCTTTCAACGAGTCCTCATACTATATCTCATAATCATGATGATTTGTTGTATGTAAGGAATCCACATATAGAGTTCTTGATAGGGTCTTGATCTCTATCTCTGACTCCATCTCTTCATTTTCCTCAAAATCATTATCTTTGAGGGGTTGCTTTGCTCCTTCATCGAGTTTTCCTGGAAAATTTGTTTCATGGATTCATATGTGTGGACAAAAAGCAAGATTAAATATCTCTATAAAAGATTGTTTAAGTGGGTATTTTGGGGCTCAAAGAGGGGTCCATCAGGGCGACCCTTTGTCGCGATATCTATTCTGATTGCAATAGAGGGGTTGTCATCATTGCTCAGCTTGGAGGCAAATGCAGGCATGCTCCCTTTCCACCCACAATGTAAGAAGATTTCCTTAACCCATTTATGCTTCGTCGATATTTACTAATTTTAACAGTAGGATCAGTACAACCGATAAAGTCAGTTCGAAGGATTTTAAATGCATTTTATAGTATGTCTGGCCTTGGATGTAATTCAACTAAGTGAGATGTTTATTTTGGTGGAGAATCTATTAAGTATAAGAAGACAACTTTGCAACAAACGGGTTATAAAGAAAGTTCATTACCTGTTAGATACCTGGGACTCCCATTGATTGCAGGAAAGCTTTCTGACAGAGATTTTTGAGGTACTCATTATTAATCTCAAGAAAAAGATTACCTCAAGGAGGGCCAAATATCTCTTATAAGCTGGCACGTTGCAGCTGATTTCGTCGATACTCATGGTGTCATCTTGTTATGACTCAAGTGTTTGTTTTTGCTAAGAAAATTTTCAAGCAAGTTCATAAAGTTTTTGCAGATTTCCTATGGTATGGTGAGAAGTGTGGTAGAGCAAAAGTGGCGTGGGATCATGTTGCTCAACCAAAGAAAGAAGGAGGTCTTGGTATACATGACTTAATTACTAAGAATCAAGCTAGCATGATTCGAATGATATGGTTAATATTGATTTAAAGTGAGACTTTATGGATAGCATATAGACCATATAGTCTGCTCCATACTGTTTTTGGCGTTTCATCAAAGTTTGAAGCTTCGAACTCTGGTGCAGCCTTACATGAGCAGATCTGATGATGGTGTGTTGTGGGAAGGAAAGCCTATGCAAAGCTACTCTGTGAGGAAGGTATGAGCTTCTTTAATGCCTAAAACAATGTAGTGACTTTGTCAAAGTTGATATGGAACAATGGAACAAGTATATGGTCCCTCGGTTTGGTTTTGTCTTTACCAAAATAGACCATGAAGTATATATACCAAAAGCTAGATAATAACATGTATTGTACCATTTGTTATTTCCCTTAAATCTCAAATGTAGCGTTGAACGGTTCACAATACGATCAAATATTGTAGATTTGACCGAGAATGTTGACATCATTCATAGAACTTGCACTCACAAAGAAGTCATGCCATATCCAAGTATTATACCCTGCAACCGCTTCGAGGACCACAATAGGTCGATGGATGTGGCCGGTGTACTAACTTGCCCAAGCAGTAGGAAAATTCCTCCATTCCTAATGCATGCAATCAATTGACCCAATCATCGTAGGAAATCCACGTTGAGAGGCTTTCCTGAGGATTTTATCTAGATCTTCACGTGTTGGTTCATGAAGGTATCTAGGTCTAAACACATGTACAATTGCAATGCATAATTTCTTCAACGTCATCAGAGTTGTAGTCTCATCAATCTAAAGCTATTCATCAAGATTCAAGAGAATCAACTGTGGGACCATAAGCTAGCATGCACATAATAGCCGTAATTTTCACTTCAAGTGATATAGATTTATTACAAACAACTTCAACTGATACGAGCACGGATCCGGTACCAGTAATTATCAAAGTAACACAGCAAGGAATAGGAATAAAACGATAGAGATAGGATGGAATTGAAAGTGCAATCTCAACACGGAATCGGGAGAAGGCTCAATCAATATAGAAAAGTAGAATCTCGACCACAATCAAGGGGAAAACTTGATTGATACAGAGAAAAGTTTAATCCTCAAGCTCAAACCAATGTAAAAATCAATATTCTGTTAAAAACTAACCCTAAAACCCGAGTTTCGGCCTTTATATAGGTTTGGGCAATTAAAACAAATTAAAAATTGAAAAATCCCTTCACCAGGTCAAATACCCTGTCGGACCCTACAAATATCCGGTCAGGTATTTAAGTGTCATGCCCGGGGTGGTCTTCTGATCCCTTCCACCGGCCTCCTGCTCCTTTACTCGATCCCCCATCCAAATTACCCGGTCGGGTATTTTCCATGCTTGGTCGTGTATTTCTTTCTTGCAGGGTGACGCCTCTCTCTCTTGGCCGGTCAGCAGGGAACGAATCAGTCCCTTCCCGTTGGAGAAGTTTTGCCCTCAAAGATTGTGTTTTCCTACAAGGAACAACATTAACAGTACTTCCAAATGGACTTTTTCTCAACGCAGTCAACATGTTCATTTGAACCATCATATGGGTTCCACCTTCGACTTCGAAACACTTGCACTTCCTTTCTCCTTGAACCAGTTCATTGCCAGTTGTTGTTGATCTTTCCGGACTTCAGTTGGTGACTAGGGATTCAGCAGAAACTTTCGATCGCCTTTCTTGAACCGGTAGTTGCTGAGCCTTCCATCATGAATGACCTCTCGATCGTATTGCCATGGACGACCCAATAGGAGATGGGCAGCATCACACCAAATCTCATATGCATAATCACCAATGTGAAAACAAACATTGGCCTTCTTGTTGACTTTGATGTTCCTATAGTCGTTCAGCCAATGCAAAGTGTATGGTTGAGGATGCTTGATGGTGCTCAAATCCAGCTTCTTGACGACATCCAGGTTAATCACATTGGTGCAACTACCACCATCGATCACCATGGATAACACCTTCCCGTCGACTAGGCAACGAGAATGGAAAAGATTATCCCTTTGCTCCGACTCTGTGTAAGCTTCAATGGATAAAGCTCGACGGTTCACTCCAAGAAGTTTACCTGCTGGAGGTTTCTCATCCTTGATGTGCTCATCCACATCGTCATCTTCAGAATCAGCATCAAAGCCGAATCCATTTCCCATGGGCTTCTCTTCATACTCCTCCTCAGAAAAGTACTCACCATCTCGCAAGACAAGAGTTTTTGTAACATCCCTACCCTCGTACTAATTATTATGTCATAATGACGTGTTTGTGATCGGGTTACAAAAATTGGTCTTTTGAACCAAAAAGAAAGTGAATAGTGAAAGTTTTAGACTTAATTGCATGAGAATGAAAGTTTAGAGCCAAATGGTCAGTTTGGAGGGTTTGAGAATTCTAGAGAAGGGGAGATAAAAATCTTCCTCTTCTCTCTTCTCTCTCATTTTCTTCTCATCTCTTTCCCTCACTTTCTCCCACGTCCCTCTCTTGCTCTCTTTCTCCCACCTAGTTTCACCACCCAAAAACCACCATCCCCATTTTCAGAAGCAAGGAGTAGAGAGATAGGAAAAAAAGATATCATTTAGCAAATTTGAAAGTGAAATTGTATAAGCAAAATGTCTCTGTATGTCATCTGTTTTATGTGTTTTGACTGAGATGGGATGTGAACATGTACTTGATTGATTCAATGGAATGAAAAGTGTGATAAACAACTTAAGTCCTGTTATGTGCTAGGGTGTTTCTGTCCAATACTGTTTTTGTATTGATGTCGATCTGAGCTTAGAATTTATTCACTGAGCGACAACTCATCCTTCTTTACTATTTTTCCTCATATCAAGAGCAGAAGTAAGGTGTGTACTGTAGATATCAGGACTCAAGCTTGAAGGGAAGCCATGAGGTGGGCGGAGGACTCCGAACTCCTTAAATGTTTTATGTTGTGTGGATTTTGTAATAAAGCGAACTTCCCCGGTTTTCTGTTTTGACTCTAATGCAAATGTAAATTATGGTTTGAAGTTTGAAAAAAATATATATAAAGCTCGGGCCCGAGAATGTTTAAACTCAATGTATATTACTGTTTCGTTTTGTAATGTAAAGTAAGGGGGTTACATTTTTTGTATCAGAGCTGGGATATGATCCCGTGGATACCAAACGTTTTAAAAGAGATTTTTACCGAGAAAACTTAAATGATTTCATGGGGAAGTGACTAAATTATTGATTTTGACTCTGTATTTTGTTTTTATGGAGTTCGGTCAAGGAGTATGATGCCATTTTCCATCATTTGTTGACCTTCGAGATGGAGTTGGTACCTACTAAACGAGCTAGATGCAACCGCTGTGAACAAGGCCTAAATCCCTGAATCAAGATGATAGTAGCAAAATCGGAGACGACCGATCTTGCCACCTTGAGAGAGGTTGCCATGAGAGCAGAGGATTCAGTAAATGAAATAGAAGCACAGATGGCTGAAGGAAGGAAGGAAGAGAAAGTAGAAGAACGTGGGTTCTTCGAGTGCTGGGAACTCATTCGGGGTAGACCTAATCAGAGTCAGAGGTTTTCACGTCCAGTAGCCAGTTACCCCAGACAGGAGAGGAGAAGTGAACTTCCAGCTCCTATTTGCCCACATTGTGGGAATCAACATATGGGTGTTTGCAGGAGGGTGACTGGTGGGTGTTTCCGATGTGGAGACACCAACCACTTTCTCCGAGATTGTCCCCATATGCCAGAGTCCAGGCCTGATGGATCCCAGACTACAATTCAGGGTCCAGAAGGACTGAAGGTCCAGTGAGAGGATCAGGAAGAAGTGGTAATAATCGTGGCAAAAGTCAAGGTGGACAGAGTAGTCGGGGTGAAGTGCAGCCACGAGCTTTTGCTATGACTAGGAGGGAGGCGCTCCTTCCTGAATTCCATGCAAGGCATCATGGAGATCTCTCTAACATAACGGAGGCGCAAACCGATCACGCATCAAGCCTCAGAGTTCTGCCCAAGTAGAAACTTCATGCTGCAGATTCCTTCTTCGTCGTTATTGAATCTTTTCCCACCAAACAACTGCATAATCTGTGACCTCATAGGTGGCTACAATAACTTTCTGATGCTCTAGGTAAGGATTGCACCGGGAAAACATAATCATCTTCCTCTCGTAGTCGAGATAAGTTGATGCACTAATAGTGCCTTGAAATGATGGGATTGAGAGCTTAATCCCTCGAATCGATTCAACGCCATAACCCCCTGCTTCTGATGGTCTTCCTCCATACTTATTATAATCATTCTCATACTCATTAAATGGAGGTCTGTACTGCGGGATTACCTGACGACGTTGCTCTGTGTATTGGCGCCTCTGCACCTGCCAATCTGGGGTCTCAGGAAAAGTTTGGTACACTCGATCTGCTCTGGGACCCTCCTGTTTCGCGACTACAGTCTGAGCTGTGACATCTGATGGGTTCTCTGGTGGAAGTAGATTACCCCTTGGTTGAGTTCCCAATCTGGTGATTAGGGTATCCAGCCGCTGATTCATCTCAACCACCTGACCTTTGGTAGCGTCTTGTTGAGCCTGAAACAAAGCTCCCATATGCACCATCAGCGCGACAAGCAGCTTCATGGATTCTGCAAGATCATGACTCTGCTCTCCCATGGCTTGTTCTTCGATTGGGGTTTCTTCTCCATAGAGCGATTCTTTCTCTTCTCAGCGTTCTGCAATCAGATATTTGGACCTCGTTCGACCAGCAACAGGTGCTCTCGCCTTTCGATATCACCACTGTGTTGAACCAGATCTCTAATACCACCTGATACAAGCACGGATCCAGCACCCGTAATTATCAATGTAACGCAGCAAGGAATAGGGATAAAACGATAGGTATATGGCGGATTTGAAAGTGCAATCTCAACACGGAATCGGGAGAAGGCTCAATCAAAATAGAAAAGAAGAATCTCGACCACAATCAATTGGAAAACTTGATTGATCAGAGAAAAGTTCAAGCCTCAAGCTCAAAACCAATGTAAAAATCAATATTCTACTAAAAACTAACCCTAAAACCCGAGTTTTAGCCTTTATATAGGTATGGCAATTAAAAAAACTTAAACATTGAAATATCCCGTCACCAGGTCAAACACCCGGTCGGACCCTATAAATATCTGGTCGGGTATTTAAGTGTCACGCCCGGGGGGTCTTCTGATCCCTTCTACCGGCCTCCTACTCCTTTACCCGGTCCCCCGTCCAAAACACTCGGTCGGGTATTTTCCATGCTTGGTCGAGTAATTCTTTCTTGCAGACCGATGCCTCTCTCTCTTGGCCGGTCAGTAGGGAACGCATCATCAACCCTTCTTGCAAATGTTGGGTTAACCTCCAACACGCTCCTACGATGTGATAGAACAACGTTGGGTACATACGGAAATGCCTTCTAAATGTTCGCTCATCGTATTTTGCCTCCTTGCGTTTTGACCAAACTAATCATTCATTTAGCGTTAATGGACAACTTCCTTACGACGTCTAGTGAAGCATGGATTGCAAACTTGTTAGGGAAGTGGTGCACATTCCTCATCCTCCATTTGTCGGAGTTCCCGTTGGAGTTCATGGTCAAACATTTCAAACTTTACATACTCTTGCTCATCCAACGATGAAGCTTGAGAGGAATACATGATGAATTGTTTCAAGTACTAGTAATTGACTATATTAGTAGACAATTCTGTATAAAGATGAAGTGATAGATCACTGAATCATCTCGACGATAGATGACTGGTGTGACTAAACTTCAATACCAACCATTGACAAAGAAGATGTGAACCATCAATTAAAGTGATCAACTAATTATTTCAACTATAAAGAAGTATATTAGAAATTGCTTAGATTTTACCAGAATGTTCGTATCAAATTATCATAAACAAATATAAAAAATTAAAAGACATAAGTCTAACTACTATTAAGTTAGATTTATTAAACACTAACAGAACGTTTGGTACCAAATGAATCAAGAATTCATTTCATTTTAAGATGAATTACTGTGTAGAATTCATTGTCAAATGAATTCAAGTGTTTGGTATGTCAAATTCAAATCTTTAAAATAAAATTAATTAAATTCTTAAACCATGTTTGACATGCATTGAGAACTTAATTAAATTAAAAGTTTCCAATGACACCTTTATTAATTTATTGCAGAAACATTGAAAATCTATTTCTAAAAAATGGTGATGATGTCGCTTGCTGTTTAGTTTGGAAATGGTAGGAAAGTTTTTTCTATTGCCGCTTAACCTTTATAATGGAACTAGCCTATTACCCGGCCCCTTGGCCGGAGATAGCCCCAAAAGAATTGGTAGCAGAACTGTTGCGAATATCTACACATCATCTTGCGTCTTGAATGCGTCTTTGCTCGGCCCGTTGGTCTGTTGTGAAGTAATCACTATGAATAGATTTTGGTAATAATTAAGTAATGGTCAGTCATTTTGCATTTCAAAAATATTAGTATCGATACCCACAGTTACATCACGAAAGATTTAGAAGTATTTCATACATTTAAAAGCACTATAGTGTTGATGAAAATACATATAAATTATATGAAGGAAGTACCATATTTTTTTTGGCAAATAATATTGACACTTTACACAACCCGGTCCATCAATTCATATTTCTTCATGAATTTACTTGCCCGACATCAACTACAATCCTGATACTATGTGCTTCCCAAGATTAAAAAAAACAAATATTAATATTTAATAGGATGACAACTGACAAATGCTAGACGAATCCTTTTTCTGGAGGGGCATCTTAAATCGAGATCCAGAAGACCATTGAATCCGCACCGCAACTGTAAGTTCATAAGCTCTAACACAAAACCCAGGAGAATCAGTTAACCTATATTAACATTTCCGAAGTTGCAGTTTGACCCTTTATAAAACAAATAATGCATCTGAAACTTAGTTGTCGACACTTCCCGGTTCTAGCTTTACAGCCTACAGTGTAGCAAATAGATAATTCGGGCATGAACATATGGGTTGGGAAAATGGCAAGTCTGCTGGTGTATACAGAAAAGAGCACATCAATTTTTAAAACAAAGGAAGCATAATATATCCTACCAACATATATAAAACAAAAGCACTTCCACACTGCAACATACTGCATATATCCTACCAACATACTGCGGAAGACCATTGAATCCGCATCACCTGTAAGTTCATAAGCTCTAACACAAAACTCAGGAGAATCAGTTAACTATATTAACATTTCCAAAGCTGTAATCCTGATACAAAATTGTTAAATTCACGCCCAACAATTGAGCTATTGTGCAATTTTGGGTTTGGAACAGTCATTAGTAAATTGGAGCGGGCTCAAACTATTTGCCACACATCCTACATATAAGTTCCTAATTATCATAATCCCTCGTCCGGATGGCCCAAAAGAGTTTGCAACTCAACCATCCGAAAGTTCTAGCAATATATGGGTCATACAACTATGTATAATTGCCTACTATATATGTACATTAATTAAGAAAGCAACGCATAATTGCCTACTATATATCTACATTAAGAAAGGAAGGTATATTTGCCTCACAAAACCTTCAGAAACTCCATAAATAAATAAAGCCACGACCTTTGACCAACTACTTTCAGTAAACCATTGGCAAGAATAACTTGAAAACAACCAAATCACATTAATCTTCCACATCGTTCCACGGCCCGATCAAATCACAGCTGGTATTTTTTTCTCAGTTACCACTTACCATCTTGTCGTAGTTGTAGCACTACAATTTCTACTTCACAAAACAGTTATAAAATATTAAAGTATGATGCACTGACAAAGAAAGAAGACTCATTCACCAGTAAAGAGCATCGGTCAAGATAACCAACAATGTAGCATACATGAGTTATCTTTGGTTTCTGTAATAGGTTCGAAAAACCCCAACAAAGCTCCAATTATTTCGTAAAGCTTAAAACCAAAATGGGAATGGAAGAACGAAGTAAAAGGATAAACTTTGGTACCTAAAGCTGGGTTTGCCAGCTGCAAGTCTTCTGCACGCAAGACTAAAACCATTAAAACTGTTTTAAATGTGTCGTAGAAAGTTAAAAAAAAACACCAGTTGCGAGTTTCACACTGCAATCCTAATCACAGGATTTCTCTGCTAAGGTTTCCTTCTTTGTAGAAACCAAATTTTTTATCACTTATTTTTTTGAAGAGCAATGAAAACCAAAAGAAGGGGTAAGCACTAATTAGAGTATGATAGTCTCTGAATTCTCGGAAACTTTAACATTTTATTTTGGTCATAGTTATCAATGCTTCTTCTAACTGCTTCATTACATGCATTAATCATAACTGATCTGTGCACACAACATTGTCATGAGACTGCTAGATCAAACTTATGCTGCTAAAACTGGATGATTCCCACCAAGATATAACCATTCACACAACAATAATGGATAAGAAACACCAAGCGTGCATCGTAAATTCTCTGAAGCTAGTGTCAAACCTGAGAGTTGCTTTGGAACCAAATGCTTGTGCCAAGAGTATATCTGCATCGAACATCATACCAATTGGCCGGTGATATGTAAGTATTTGTGTGAACGAAACAGTTTATAAGATTGCAGGTATCAGAATGCAGTTGAATGAGTTTAGTATTCTAGATTCCTAGGTCTGTACCAGCCACTCAATAATGTCTTGCCATTATGACCATGTAAGAGTAAACAAATAGCTTCCTACTACTATGTTGCAGATGCCTGAACATGACAACTCAATGAAAAGGTTTCCAGTATGATAAAATTTCAGGTAAGAATAGATAATCTGCTCCTTTAGCAGAGTGATAA